AATAAATGTGAGAGTGCAGACAGCTGAAAACTGCCGGACATATGAAAAAGATCCACTAAGATGCCTGGGTCAAAAGGTAGCTATGAGGACGATGCGAAGAGTTGGGAGTTGTTACAAACCTTGCGGTTCCTGAGAGGCTGATGAAGTTTCGATTCAACGAATCCTCGGACTCCGAGTTTAATTGGGGTGGGGATTCGTCCTGTCGAGAGTCTACCTCTGCACTGGCCTTAGTCGGTCGCGTGGATTCTTCCTCCTCAATAACCGGCTTTGGATGAGTCAACGTGAAGGGCAGTTCGACGCAAACATCGCTGAAAGTAATAGATAGGAAAAACTTCTGTGTATTAGAATAATATACCTATATATCGATTCCGACAAGTCATTGGTCGCATGAAGAAACAGATAACGTTAAAGGCTCATGAATTAGTCACTAGTTGAGGATACGAAACCAAGAGAAGACCGCTAACGAATTGTATACGAATTGTTGCAGAGATAAGGACTTCCGCTGAATCAACCTTGTTTTTCCCGCAACCCTATCATGCTAAAGTTAAAAAGTAAGTTGAAAAGACTGGGGTGGAAGTCAAGCGTGTTGCAGCACTTATCCAAGGGGTGCAATTCATGTTGTAAGTTCTTATCGACGAAGAGGACCAACATTTAAGGGATACTAATGATATACCCGACAATTTAACTTTAAGCGAAGACCTGGAACCACCCTCGTTTCCATGCTCAAGTGGAAAGACTGAGACAGAACAAGTAAAGATGAGTTTCCGTGCAGTTGCCAACAAAGTCCGTCGCCCATGAGCTGGTTTCATGCAACAGACTTTGTCTCTTATAATCCACGAAAGTATCCACGAGTATCCTGAGAAGGACTGATGAGGTTGGTCCTGTGGAAATGAGATGCCAGAGTCCCCCTCCAAAAAAAACTATTCTATGACAGGCGCTGACAGATAGGATTTACAGTACCAAATGGACAGTGGAAAGTGGAAAGCTTTTAGCAAATGCGTTGTAATTAGCCAGAACGCGAGAATAATCTTCGAAAAAGCGCTGTAGGGAATAATGAGTGCTGTAAAAAAGGCTGTGACTTTCCAGATCAGAAAATAGGCAAAAGACACAAAACTGCAAGGCCAGGCAGGAACGATTGACCTATACAGTGTAAGACACTAACTAATCTACTGCTGTTAACAACAAGAACAATCAAAACAAAGTACAAACCAAAATTAGACCAGAAATTTACAGACTGCAAAGAGGTGTAAGCCATCTTTAGGGCAAAACAAATGCGCACAGCCGGCAGTTTGCACATAATAATAACCGATCCTCTTCGTGGGATTACAAGCATTCCACAGGTTGCGAAACAGGAATATTCACGACCGAGTGCGGTGGCATTTACCAATCCAATTCGATTTCGGACAGGACATGACGTTATTGCTTTGCCTAATGGCTCCGATTGTAAAGGCCTCACAAATATGAGAATTTGTCGATTACCCACCATTGGTGACCACTCTCCTGAAAGGTTAACTGACATTCTGAAAGGCATTTGCCGTTAGAAGAGATAATCTCAGTGGGATTGTTAGATTGATTACCATGCTGCATCATCTCCTGGTACTTCAGTGATGTCAAAATACCAGCTAGTGAGTGCATGTTAGTTCGACCGTCTGGAGAAACCACACAACTCAAAAAAGACCTCTTACTACTTTCTTCTGATTTCAGAAGGTCTCATAAAATGTGTTTTACAGAACACATGCTCAAAACTGTTCTTTCTTTCAGATAAGTTTTTTTTCAATTTATTTGAGGGAAATGTAGGTGTGTAACTTCGAACTCCCTTCTTGTACTAATCTGATAGAAAACCGTGTCTTTTTGAAACTAACCCAGAGGAGGGATAAACACAGGTCAAGAACAAGGTTTTTTTCAATTCCGGACAAATTTCGGTCTGATTGGCAGCTGCATTTGCGCCTAGGATTTAGAGACTACAAGTTTGATACACCACGTATAACGGAAACCGTACATTTCCCTGTGCCATTACGAAGATGCCGCAAAGAGCTCATAAAATTGTACAATAGACGTGGGCCTTGTCCTGTACTTTGTAAGGATCAGTACCAAACTTACAGATACAAAGTCCTTTGAAGGGGAATTCCGGTATTAAAAACTTTAAAACTTTTTAGAACCGGAAACAGGTCTTACATAAAGTACAAAATCTGAAGATGTAATTGGTTATCAAACGAGTACGAGAGAGAATATCTTCGTGCGTGTTTTTCATCAAGTATATTTGAATTTATAAGGCCATCAACAATAAATTTAAAAATACATACTACTTAAATTGTTATTTTTTGCCGAGGTTTTGGTGCTGCAGCCATATCTTGGAATTACGTTGCACAATAATCTGTATACTTAATAAATCAGTATTAAGAATCAAGCTAAGTTATCCTTTATAATCGAAGACGCATTCTAGAATTTCGATTAACATTTCATGGGATCAGTCACTGGCTGCAAGTATTTATTATGAGGCGGCCCTAGAGCAGGAGGTCCAAGGCAGGCATAAATGCCTACGTATGTTTGCCGGTGGAGATATATGGCTGAACACCCCTGCCATGCGAGTAAAGATCCCCTACTGCAGCAAGAGGAACATATATCAACGGCTCAAGTCTCAAAGTTCATAGGCAGATAGAAATGCCGTCAAAGATCAGG